AAAATAAAACTTATGGAAAAACTCCCTATAAAGTACCCCCCAGATGTTCCGACTCTGCCCAAAATCTAATCAGTTCACCGCAGACCGGAATAAAACTTAAGTTTAAAATTTGATGTGTTTCTTTGTATCCGTTCATGAGTTATCATGTATTAAAAACTAGATTTTACTTTAATTATTTCTTTTATTACCGACAACTCGTTAGGGTTTACACAAATATCAAGCAAAAATGGTAAATTTTCAAAATTTGTATTTGACAAAAGTTGTTTGTTTCGATGCGCTAAATACTTGGTTAAAATTATGGCACTATTTTCCGGGACACACTGTATATTTTGACTATCAAAATTTTTTCTTAATAATTTTTACAATTAAAATATACGGGATTTTAAGTATACCTTAATATGTTTAATGATTTTCCTGAAAATTCCGGCTAATTTATGATTTCCGGTGCATTCTGGATATACTTGGCAGTGACGTAGTCAGGCGGGGGCCAGGGGGGCACATATGCCCCCCCCCCCCCCCGCCCTCCTTGCTAGGCGCCCCTTACCTATTGGCGCTTGGTGCCTACATACACAATAAATAGTTACTTTTATTACACATCCTGTAACATTTATTGAAGTTGAAAAATATTTCGGAAGATATTTTCAAAAAACAAACACGATATTTATTTTAAATGCCTCAAATATTATTTTAAAAGAAAATGTTATTTATTTATTTATTTATTTAGTACAAAGTTGAAGTAAAATAACTATTTTTATTTTATGAAGTAGTAAATCATAACAAATGATATCTTCAAAAGTAATGCGCGACGTGGCAGTGGCGGTGTTTGAGTCGGATCGGCAAGTGTTTATTGTGTTACCGATTACCGATGCCAAAAAGTATTTTTTGTTTAGATCTGCCTATTCAAGACCTTTAAGTCTAAAAAAACCGTCAATGTCTCGTTAGGCAAATCACACTAGATCTGTTAATTCGATATTTGACAACTTCCCCGCTATAATAGAGCTTATGGAAAGCATCTCATCTAGTGAAATTTGAAGTACAAATTCGAGTCAAATGATTGATTCTCGTGGAATTCTTTGCTTTTGGAAACAAAAATTTTTAGTTATTCAAATTCTATCTAATTATTTACAAAAATATATCAGCAGCAGTTTCCTTAATTATTTCAACCATAAATGGCTTTAAATCATTGAGAAATGATGAATCTTTCAACAGCTTTGAAGAAAAGGCTAAAAGAAATTTCAAGTGAGTATGACTTGCTCAATGAGTTCACAAGAAAAATATCAAAAACCGGGTCTAGATCAATAAATTTGTGTGTTGAATGTTGTGTGTTGAATTCGACAAAAATATTTGCGCGCAAATATTTTTTTATTGTGATTTTGTCGCGCAAATATGTGCGTTGTGTTGGTGTATTTATTGCGATCCATTTTCGTGTCGGGCGTAGCAATAATTTGTGATTGAAATAATAATACAAACTAAAAAAATATTCAAGTCCACATTAAAACAATCACTCGAGGGTCGTTCGACGCAAATCTCTTTGAAGTTGGCAGAAAAACCGACAGACTGGTGGATAGCGTGTGTTGTATCTGGCGCAAATATTTGCGGGTCTCTTTATGCGGCGCACAGTCCACATCTAGAAATATTTTGACGAACACAAGCAAATTTGCGTCAAATACAACGCACAACGTAAATATTTATTGATCTGGTCCCAAACTTTTTCACGATGAAAACATCTCTGGGCACATTGAAAATTGGCCTAGACACAATTACTAAATTTCTGTACATTTTTTTGTACTGATACATTTATTCGAATACAAAAGCTACCATTTGGCAAGGCGAGATCGAGACCGACTTCAAACGCCTTCGCGACACCGAAGGAGGCCGAAAACGGTCTCTTCACTTCTGAACACATGTAATTATATGAAACACATTTGGGAAGGCGAGACAGATGACACCAGTTTTAGTACGGTAGAATTTGCTGCCTGTCGTCTTCCTTTGTCGCGCGTTCCCTAATGGTACCTTAACACAGAGATTTGATGACTTTTTTCTAATTTTAAACAAATTTTCATGCTTAGAGGTGGAAAATATCGCTATTTCTGAAGAGAATAACAAATCTTTGTATGATTAATGTATTTTTATAATTCTTCTATCCATCCGGAAATAGTTTATAAATACAAATCGTATTGTAATCTTTTAAGTGAAATAAATAAAGAATATAAGTTCAAAACTGAAGAAATATACCCTTTCTTGATCTCCAAAAAATTGTAATCGGTTTTTCCTACTTTATACAAAATATACCAAATTTGTTCATAAATTTCTACAAACACTTGTTATATTTAAATGCACTTTTATTTTCTTATTAATTTTAACAATATTCTCGCTCGAACAACCTGAACGAACTACTCTAAAATCTCTTAAATTTCTAATCTTTTGAATACACATGGCTAAGGGCCATGTGTTGTTACATTTCTTGGGCACAAACAGTATCGTGTTTCAAATTAATTGTCTTTTAGGTTGACTGGGTGGTTGACCCATTTATTATGGTGTCACAATGGTGATATATATGTTACTAAATAATCTAGATGTTAACACACTGTAAAAAGCGAAATATCTTTTAATAGATGAATATTAAAACTTATAATAGGTCGACCATGTCTGAGGACAGATTGATAAACAGCATTACCGAGTGTGTCTAATATTGATTGCAATCTGTAATAGACAAATTTAAAACCATAAGGAGTAGAAGAATTATTTTGTAAAAAACATTTAGTATTATAATGTATAACTAGAGTATTTAGTATTATATGTATTTTTATTTACGAAAGTTACAGTTTTTAAATGTTTGACCCCCATGCCTCGCAATGCTGGCTACGACACTGATACTTGGTAACCCTAAATGGGATTTTGCCAAAAATTGTATACCTATATCTATACCCTAACAGCTAAAGTTATACCTATCTCAAATACCAAAAAAAGAGGGTATTTTTGATAAAGAGGTGCTTTATACATCTGAATTTTTCGAGAAACTCCTCGGACCTATTGATTTTTATTTCCAACAATTTACATTTTTGTTATCAAAATTTCTCCCCTTATTTCAACAAATTCAACAATTATTCGAGAATCATTGAGAGACATTTGAAAAAGTTTTTAATTTTAAACACTGTGAAGAAATGTAAATTTAGTTGTATTTTTATTATACAGATATTCAATTCAAGCTCGTCTTTATGGTTTATTTTTAGATATTTGAAATATCAAAACGTGCTTTTAACCGGGATGCGAAGTTGATAAGAAACCATTGTTTATAATTATCATATTATCACCGAGTCAGCATGGCATGCACAGGAAATCGGACTAAAGATTTAACATTTCTGAATGGTTTTCAACACAATAATTCACATTTCGATAACACACAAAAGATATACAGAAATTGTATTTGTTATTAATTGTTTAACATTTTTTCTGTATATTCAGGGCCGGCTTTCAGGTGGGTCTACTATAGAAATTTCCTCATCAGTTCATTATGTTTAATTTAAAAGAAGTTTATCTTCATTAGCTTATATTGATTATATCGAGAGCAAAGCATTTACGAGTCTGATACAGCTTGACAGATCTCTAGATTATAATTTGAAGTTTATGTTATTCAGATAGATGACATTATAGTAAGAATATCGAAAATAAGTATTAGAAATTAAAAATTAAAAAAAAAGACTTCAAAATCGTGCAGATACCATCACCACATCTTAACCAATTTTATATGGGACCACCCCTGAGGTACCCCCTTACTAACAAAAAAGAATCATATAAATCGGACAAAGTGGTAAAGCGTTATCGCTAAAGATACATAAAAAATGAAGAGTTTGAGGATTTTCTGATGGACCCAATTATTAGATTTTTACCAAATTTATATGAGACTATCCCTGAAGTGTCCGCTTTCTAACAAATACGAATCATTGAAATCAGACACCGTGTTAAAGAATTATCGCTGAACATACAAAAAAAAAATATAACGAATTGAGAACCAACTTCCTCCTTTTTAGAAGTCGGTCAATAAACTATTTCATAAAACAACACTATATATAAAGGATAGGGCAACACCTGACTCAATTGTACTGAAAATTGACTTGAAAACATTTTTTCGTACATTTTATGCACTATTGACGCTTGGGGTTTTTAACGTCATCTGTCATATTTATCATATCAAGATATGACGTAATCGGATGAAATTTTAAATGTATCACGTATTTATATTTTTTATTGATAGATCTTTTCTTTTGATATTTTTACGACAAAATATAATTTCTCTAAATAATTTAGATATAGGACAAAAATTACAACTTTTTAAAGTATAAACCCAGCTACAGTTTATCTATACAACTGGTTAAACATTAGGGGTGGTAAAAATAAATAATGTCTTGTTACTTTTATTGATACAACCTGTAAAAGTGTTACATATGACTGTTTGGTAAGAAATATTTTGAATATTTTTCTGTAATCTGGCTCTTAGGTTGATCAAATATTATAACAAACTGCTCCTTTACAAGCAAAAAATACTAAAAACATGTTTGTACAGCTTGCGGCATTCAACTTTGAACACAGACCAGACCATTGACTTTTAATGTCCATATTAGAACTCACACAATGTCCTGGAACCTGGAAGCAATTATTTAGCATTCTATACGCTCCCGTAAAGGTATTTTCATCGCACATGCGCTAAGAGGTTTTCTATTAATTGAAGGTTAAATAAAAATAAATATTAAAAACTTTTACACTTTAATATTACATTATGAAAATATATTTCATATCATTAATATAATAAAACTAAGGTATTAAAAAAAATACAAAAATTTATAAAATTCAAAATTGAAAAATTTATAAGAATTCAAATTTACAAATTTATAAAATGAAAAATCTACAAATTAATAAAATTAAAAATTGAAAAATTTATAAGTATTAAAATTTACATATTTATAAAATGAAATGAAAAATTTACAAATAAAATTAAAAATGTATGAACCTAAAAATTTTAAAATTATCAAATTTAAAAACTTGGTAACGAATAAAAACTGTTTAAAATATTTTTTTAGAGTGTACAATTGCCCAGTTTTAAAGCAATTTTTCAGCAGAAAACTATAAAACAATATTTCAAACACTTAGTAATAAGTGTAAAATAATGTTGAACAAAAAGAGCAGAGATAGTCTCGAATAAAGCTCTGTACAAAGTTCTTAATCTCGGCGATTTAGCCGACAGTGTAACCGCATTGCGTGCACTTCTTCTTTCTCATGCAGCAGCAGCATATAATTCCACATGGGAAACAACAAATTAACCATAACCATGCGCAGCAATCATAGGTGCCCGTCCAGCTGTTGTTGTGGCATACAGGGCAACCTCCTAATCCACCACCACCTGTATTAACCGTTACTGAAAAAATAAAAAATAAATAAAAAATAAAAAATAAAAAATAAAAAATAAAAAATAAAAAATAAAAAATAAAAAATAAAAAATAAAAAATAAAAAATAAAAAATAAAAAATAAAAAATAAAAAATAAAAAATAAAAAATAAAAAATAAAAAATAAAAAATAAAAAATAAAAAATAAAAAATAAAAAATAAAAAATAAAAAATAAAAAATAAAAAATAAAAAATAAAAAATAAAAAATAAAAAATAAAAAATAAAAAATAAAAAATAAAAAATAAAAAATAAAAAATAGAGTTGAATCTAGGTTGGGAAGATATCTCTATAAATTCCTGTTCTAGAATCTACAATATGATGTAAAAAACACTGATCTATAATATGGCGTTACATGTTCTGCGTTACCAGGTATGTGTGCCGTCACCAGAGTAACCACAATACTATTACCAGGTATTTTGTAGTAAGGTAATAAAGAAGTGCCTTTAGGTCAAGAAGGGCACCGTAAATGCCATGAATTGACCAGGACAAATTACGCCGGGCAAATTTGAAATTTGATAACGAGCTAAAATTTATGCAATAATATTTTTTGCTATTTGATGTGTGTGGTCATCAAAAAAAAATCATTTTACACACTTGTTACATAATTATTTTTTAATAATATAGAAGATATCACAAGAAATCTGGAAATAGTGAAAAGTAGAAAAACATTGTAATCGACCAGGGTAGACATGACTTTTGTACAGCCCCCAACTTATTCCCGAGATACAATATACTGTACCTACCATTAGTGGAGACTGAACTTGCCGTTGCCTGTGCAGCTGCAGGTGGTTGCATGTACACTGGAACAAGATGAAGATACTGAATTGATAAATTAACACAATAAAATCCAAGAGAGAGATAGATAGAAAGACAGACAGACAGAGAAACAGACAGGCAGACAGACAGAGACATACCGACAGAGACAGGCAGAGACAGACAGAGATAGATAGACAGAGAGAGAGACAGACATACAGAGGCAGACAGGCAGAGACAGACATACAGAGACAGATAGACAAACAGACAGATAGACAGACAGATAGACAGACAGATAGACAGACAGATAGACAGACAGATAGACAGACAGATAGACAGACAGATAGACAGACAGATAGACAGACAGATAGACAGACAGATAGACAGACAGATAGACAGACAGATAGACAGACAGATAGACAGACAGATAGACAGACAGATAGACAGACAGATAGACAGACAGATAGACAGATAGACAGACAGACAGATAGATAGACAGACAGATAGACAGACAGATAGACAGACAGATAGACAGACAGATAGACAGACAGATAGATAGACAGAGCTTAAAATTTACTAGATAGAAATATAAAAATATAATCCAAATTTAATGAACATACTATTTCTTCTAAATTTGCTCCAAGACTCTTGACTCTTGTAGTATTAAGCAAGTATTTTTTTCAGAAATTTCTAGTTTTATCTTTCAAAGACTAGGACCGATCAAAGTTGAAATTTAAAAAAAAATTAAATATACCAGCCACGAATTTATATTTAAAAGAGAATATAATGTTGGATTAATATATTTTTTTTTCTTTTAGTTTTTAGCACAAAATAGTAAAAAATAAACATACATGGTAAATTTTAGTGTTGACGTATATATTGTAAAAGGGTTTATGCTAAATTAAATGAAATAAATATCGACAATTTTTTTTAAATGGCACTAATTCTATTAAAACAAAGACTGGGACTGATTTGAGTTGGAATTTTAAAAAAATTACCGATATTGAAGCGTGCCACGAAATTATATTTAGTAAGATACAACCACATGACAACGATTATAACTGATATAATGCTTTGTATCAAAAGAAGTTTATTTCGCAACAATCATGGCAATCAATGTAATAAGTAACAGTATAATACTATCGCTTATTAATAACAAACAAACAAGCAAATAAACAAGCAAACACACAAACAAAAAACAAACTAACATCGTATATAAAAAGTAATACTATTTAAATAATGTAATAATTAGTAATTAATTAAAACTAAGAAATATTAATACAACATACCAATTTGTGGTTGAGGTGGAGCCATAGAGTATGGACCTAGAAAATAAATACACTAAATGATTAAATTCGTTTTATGAATTTAAATCCACAAATTTAACAGAAATAGGTGCAATTTTTTGATAAAGATTTTGAAGGACTACGTCAGGCTTCGAAGAATTTTATAATAATATACAAGATGATCCAAAAATGCTTGGTTCATTCAAATATTTTCTGTACATTTATTTCGTGGGATATACCCAATCACAGGGGCGATTTCTGCATTGGTTCTTTTATGCAGTGAACACCCAGTGAAATTTCAAAAGAGCACATTATTTTAAAATCACATATAAATGACTTAATAATTTAAATTTACTTAAATATATTTATTATTTTCGTACGTATTAATCTCTACTTTTTTGGTACCCCACTGCGCTCAGGCCGATCGCGTCTGTCAATATGTCTAGTGAACGCGAGAGGTGTCTGAGAATGAATGTTAAAAAGACAGGTTAATAGATCCGTGAAACAGCAGTGTGTCTGCTTGAAACCACGCTATTTTTAGCATCATTTTGTGCATCGCACGTAAATTACGTCACGACAGTTAACTTCCTTGGTCCATCGATTAGTTATTGTGCTTGATCAAGGTCACTCTGACTGGAAGTCTTAAATTCAACGTTGCCACATTTGGCAGATTTCTGCTTTTTTGGTAGATTTCTGTTTTTTTGGTAAGTTTTCAGCTATTTTAGCTAGTTTTATTTTAGTAGATTTCTGTAGAATTCTATAAATTAATAAAAAAAATCCATTTACTCAAATGAAACTTCCTATTTAAATAATTTTGTTGCCAAAATGGATTGCTAAAAACGTTAGGGACGGACGATCATCAAAATAAATTATTTTTCAAATTCATATAATTTTTATTTGAAACACAAATTGAAACATTTAACAATTACGCACTAATGGGATGATATGATCAAATTTGTGGGAATATTCATTTGTTGGTTAGCATTATTTTTGTACACTTTAAAAATAATATATTTCTTTATTCTGATTCGTACATGTACTGTAGTTTTTAATAAAAATAACATTTTTTTAATGTATCTTGTCAAATGATCTTAATAACGGTATGTCATCAAGACTAAGCCGACCCTGCGCTGATAGCTACAAAATTTTATTTTCAAAATTAAAACGATGTTTCATATTTGGACGAACTTATTTTGTTTTCTTAAATTGGAAAAGACAAAGGAAAAGTTTGCTATCGATTAATCTAACTATCTTTAATATATATAATTTATAATTGACAATTTTTTAATAGATATAGGCAGATAAATAAAGTTAATCGATTTACTAAATGGAAAGCGTGTGTATTAGAAATTATCAATAGATAAAACGTTAAGTTTCAAACGAGATTACCAACTAATCGAAATTTGTTTGGTAAATTTCGGATTATAAAAAAATATAGATTGGGATATCTCTCAACCTTACAAGATTTAGAAAAATGATACTTCAAATTCAGACATATTAAGAAATTTTGTTTTGAAATTCTGCACTTTGACAAAATATTCTAATACACAGGGCGATGCTTGTAAATGTAGTGAAATCAGATTTTTTTTTTAAATAATAAGTACCCATATTTTTTATTCCATTTTCCGAGAGAAAAAGTACAAGATAATTGTACTAGAATTTACGGTTTCATTGTAAATATCGTTTCTTCATTAAAATCACTCATTTTCAATTTATTTTTTAAACATTAACTGTGGTGTATTTCATATCCATTCCAGAATGGGTATATATATATATATATATATATATATATATATATATATATATATATCATATCCGTTCAGTAGACTGATGTTGTTTACATATTCATTCTGTAGGACGTAGAAAAAATATACATAATTCAGTAAGGCAGCGTTGCTCAACCTTTTAGTATTCGGGGCCCAACTTTTAATAATAATTTTTATGGTGCCGCCATGTTGGCACATAATTTTAAAAAGTATTTTTTTTTTCCTAACGACAAATCGGTAGCAAGTTACTAGTGGATTAGGGATCCATTTCGAACTACTTCCGAATGTGACTTTACTGCAAGTGGCGAAATCAAGAGAAAATTTAGTAATAAATCTCTCTTTGGGTTTTGGGCGGGAATGGATGATGCTTTTTCTCCATTTTCTCTATTTTGAACATCCTACCTTTCCGAAACAAAATTTTCTGCGGTGGCTGCTTTAGACAAAATATAGGTCTCGACTAAATATAGACTGAAGAACTGAGAGTGGCTATTTATAAAATAAAAGCTTCTTTTGAAAAACTTTGCTGTGGGAGACAGGCCCAAGGGATTCACTGGTAATTATTAAAGCTACTTTTAATTTAGTACTGATGAGTTCACTATTAGTTTCTGATACAATCATTTTTATAATAATTAAATAGTATATTAGTTTAAACGTATACTGTACTTAATTTTGTGTAATCTCAGAATTATTATCATTTTTCTTTTCTTTCTATGAATTAACTTTTTTTTGTTGTTAATTATCGTTGTTTTCTTTTTGTTTAGTTTTTTTTTTGATGTGCTGGCGCCCGCCACGTAGCGTTATAGCACCCCCATAGGGGGGGCGCGCCCCACATATTGAGAAACGCTGCAGTAAACAGTAAGTATTTGTCACTGAATATAACTCTGTTGGTACTCATAGAAATTAATTACGCAACACAAAATAATTTCAAGAAAACAAAGTGAAATTTAATAATATGACAAAGAAGGCCAGTATATACTCACTTTGACCACCCATATGTTGTGGAGGTGGCGCGTATTGACTATCTGGAAAATAAACAAAATTATGAGAACTTCTATAAATAAGTGAGTGTCACGACTGGAAACAGACCACCGATATCACAAGACCATGTAGGAATGCATAAACCATCAATAAAAACCACCGGAAAAAAATTAGATTTATAAAATATTTCTGCAGTAGGGAACGGATGTGGTAATACCACATAATATATACAATATGTTCCTAGCCTGGAAATATTCTGAAAATATGGCAAAATTGATACTCTAGGAAAACCCACCATACAGGCAAAAGTTGCGCGGTGCTATTCTCAAGTAATAGCACCAATGTTGCTGTAAATTTTAGTGGGCAATCTCCTGAAAATATTTAATAATACTTAGGAAATTGTTATATATTTAATATAGCATTTATATACTGCATATTAAGTTAGTCGTTAGTATGAAGACTAGTCCGTATAGTCGTTAGATGTTTAGTTTCATATTTTTTGACTTAATTCAATAAATATACTAATTAATACGCGGGTATTATCATTTCAATCAATACAAAATAGATATATAGATGACCTCACAAGTATCGTCAATAGATTATTTGCACGCATAGTCTCAGGTCCTTCCCTAAAAGTCACCTCAGTGTATTTGATGAGCTAAAAATCCCTTCTCTAAACCTTTATACTCCCTCCTAATTCATTATTCCGCGATAGTAGCCGCGTATTCATAGAGCGAACGAATACGGCCGAACAAATCCGTTCGGTTGATCAGGGTTGCCTTAGAAGGACCAGAGGGAGATTAATATGTGATGAGAACCTTTTTTTTATAGTTTTTCTACACAATAAAAGTGTACGGTATTGGGAGGTCATATACGGTAATTTGAATTGTGCGGTACGTTAAATAGAATTTGAAAAGTTGGCAACCCTGTGTGGACGTCACAACAAACAAGACCAAACGCGTTTGTTTGCCTTCGCTAGAGTTCGCTCGACAGGTGGTCCATCAAAGAAAATTAGAAAAGAATTGGTCTGACCGGTGCTCTAGTGAGCACCATTTGGCAGCAGCATTCGGTTATTTCATATATTAGCAAAGTTTCATTTAAAATTATTGTTAGAGCGTTATTATTAAACTAAATAGTTTGAAATAAGTGATGGAGTAGAGTAATTCTACATCCCTACTATTATTCATACCCCATTTCAACTCTTAGATCACTCATTAAGTCTGTTCCTCTGTACCGACTTCTACTTTTGAACAAGAAAGTCATCCACCAGCGATTTTTCTTTCTCTGCCTTAAAAGTATATTATCTGATGCTTCACTTGTAATAATATACGCTGACTTGCAATAATTACATCCTGCTACGACGCCATTTTTTTTAGCTTTAATATTTAAAACAAAATATACCAGCGAACATACGCGAATGAGTGTGAACACATTCTTTCGTTCGTATGCGGACACAATGCCATTTTTTTAGTAAACGGCGAAGGTGAAATTCATTCGCCTTCGTTTACCTTTATTACGATATCAAATTATTCTGCTAAACCCAATGTGGTAGCCAGTTCTCGTGGACAATCGTCTTAAAATATAAACCAATACCTAGGACATGATGATGATGACGATAACCTCACAATTATTATCATGATTTGCATGCATTTGCATAGTCTCGGAGCTTTCTCTAAACGATCAATAATATTGATCGAAAAAAGGACAGGGCTCAAAACGGTGACCTGAGGTATAATCATATGTATTTTATGAACTGAAATAAATCGTCTAAGGGCCGATTTTTTCACCTGTGAGTAAAGTTACATGTAGGTTTACTTGACAGATTAACAAACAATAGGCCCTATATTTTAATCAGCAAGTAGTTACTTTCAAGTTTAATCAGAGGTGAAAAGAGTGGCCCTTAATCTTTATACTTTAAACCGACTTTTCATTGTGCGATAAATAATTAACGATATCAAATTATCTAGCAATATAAGTGAAATATAATTTCAAATGAATCTATAGTAAAAATGAATGAAGAGTTCTTACTTTAACAAAATAAATAACATAGCTTTATGTATCACATAAAATTTATTGAACTCAAACATCAATCGAGTTCGGCTAAAAACAATACAAAGATCTAAAATGAAACACATGTAATTGATAGGTGATAACAGCTTACCTTAATAGTATAACATATCACCTATCAATTACCTGTGTTTAATATTAGATCTTTATATTTTTTATAGGCCTGATGATGGAAAATTAGCCAAAACCGGTGACTGCTTCAATTCAATAAATTTTATGTGGTATATGATTTTGTTTTATTTATTTTGTTACTACACTAACCACATATTACCTTCTGTTTTTAGTTTTTTTATTAATTATTTAAATACAGAAAATTCTTAGAAGTTATAAAATACGACATTCTATATTAACAAAAGTTGCAAGAGCTTGACAAAAATGTATACAATTACGCGCCTGACTTGTGTTTGGGTACATGGACTATAACATTAGTAGGGTCAGATTACAATTAGAGGAAACCGCTACGTCATAACCATTACTTCGAATTTCGAATATAATATCTACAACTATCAATAAATAAAAAATAAGTAAATTGTTAGGTATAAAAAAACATTTCCTATATTCATATAATATTAATACTCCACTAAACCCCCAGTAGGCGGCGATAACCAATTAATTACTTTGCCAAATGATGACGTACCTGTGTTCTTCTAATTGTAATCGGACCCTACATATGCACGATCTAGTAAATTTTAATAAAGGAAAAAAAAGACAAAAAGATAAAAAAATACTCACTTGGACCACCCATGTAGTTTTGCGGCGGTGCTTGTGGACTATCTGGAAAAGTAAACAAAATAAGTTTTTTTCGAAATAAATTTATATACAAGGTGTTATTAAAAATACATTCCATATTTTTAACAGTGTCCAGATATTAAATAACTTCGTAGAAACACCGTACATGTATCATAGATAGCTCTTTGCCAACCAGCTTCAAAATGATCAATGCGCCAGCGGTCAAAATATAACTTTTTACAATAATTATTATTGATTCTTAATTTTAATATAAAGATTATTCAAAAAGGATTGAGCTTAAAAATTAATCTAAAAAATGTCAGTGTATTTAACGAAAAATGTTTTTTTATAAAATTTCTTTATACCAAAAAATACATAATCAAAAACCAACAACTTTTTTAATACCATTTTTCTACGACAAGCAATTTTTTAAAAACAAAATGACTTTTTACTTTTCTTACATTATCTAATGAAATTTTCTTGACAATTACAGATGTCAAAAAAGCAAGTTACTAAGCTAGTAGGAAACTATTTTACCTTTTCTAGTATTATGTAAATGTTATTTTATAAATTTATTGTATACTTACATTCTGGGTTAGTGTGGCCCATTTCATAAGGAGGAGGGTGTTGTTTTTCCATATTTGATGAACAGGATCAAGATCTAAACAAAACAAATTATTATTAATTACTAAAAATATTTATCCCGATTATATTTCTTGTCTTAGCCCATAATATTGAAGTCCAATCATTCAGTCGATAAAAAAGGGGGTGGTTCCCAAAAAAACTGCAAGTGATTTTTTTAAAAATTAATTTATATTTTTTTATTCAATAATTCATAGCTGTAGAAATTAAACATTTAAGAAATATAGAGGAAATGATGCAATATAAATACAGAATTTAACCAAAAATCATTTGGAAATTCCCAAAGATTATTATGTACAATTTGTTTTTGGATCAGTAACCGATAGTGGCAGCTTGTGCCCAAAATATTGGGGGTTCACAATGAATATAGATCTCAGGTAACCGATAGTTTTCAAATTTTGAAAACTATTTTTTCTTTGATAAATGAAATGGACTGGCTAAAGAAAACGAAAAAACTCAAAAATTGATACAAGAACTAGAGGATTTATATAAGTAAACTGGAAAATCTTCAACAATGGCAGATATAGAAAATAATAAACAAAAAGAAGATGAAGAGGAATGATATTTTGATTAATTATCAAAGAAGACACTTACCACAGAACTCTCAAATATCTACTACTAAATGCATGAAATTTTTGAATTTTATCAGGATGAGGCACTTCTTTTATTGCTGCATTATGCACAGTGCATTATTTTATCTTACAGATATGATATTGCAATAAAACTAAAAATAAACACCAAATTTGAAGTGCGATAATTATCTCTACAAATTTTTAATGTATTATACAAGATGTTTCAAAAAAATATGGTATAAATGATAGAGGTCTGAAATATAAGTGAAATTTGTTTCATAAACATATTATGTCCTAAGAGCTTTCAACTTTTTATACAGGGTGTTAGAGCTAAAAATTTAAAATTTTCCATCTCTGAAATTAGTACCCATACAGATACAGAGTGTACCCGAATATATGGGCATTCCCTCGGATTCAGATGATGTGATTGCAGTAAAAATAAAAATAGTTAACACCAAATTTGAGGTACAATTAGAAGAACACGCTACGTCATCATTTAGCAAAGTAATTAATTGATTATTGCCGCCTACTGGGGGTTTAGTGGAGTGTAAATATTATAGGAATATAGGAAATATTGTTTTATAACTAACAACTTATTCATTTTTTATTTATTGATAGTTATAAATAATATATATTCGAAATTCGAAGTAATTGTTATGACGTAGCGGTGTTCTTCTAATTGTAATCGGACCCTACATATTTTTGATGTATTATACAAGGGGTTTCAAAAAAAAAAAATACGGCTGAGAGGTTTGAAAAAATAAGTTAGATTTGTTTAATAAATATTATGTCCTAAGAGCCTTCAAATTTGAGTTGCAAGAAGTTAAAAATTAAAAATTTCCCATAACTTTGAATTTAGTACTTATACAAATACAGACGTCAAACAACATATGGGCATTCTTTGAGATTAAGGTAAAACACATAATAATACGTTTAACTTATATTCGCTTATGAAGAAACTATAGTCTATTTTTATGTATGAGAGAGTAATAAAACAGCATTTCTAATGCAAAACTTAGTACGGTCATTTTAAATATTTTTACAGAATAATCTAAATATTTCCTAAAATTGTAATAAATGTACCTGAGCTATTACAAGTTTTGGGTCTTTTATTGGTCCTTTATAAACATAAGCTGTACAGAACAATAGAAAAAGGTTTGGACAGGCCAAAAGCCCTGTGTATTAAAGATTACATAGCCGTATCTTAAGATTATTTTCAATAAGTACCTATTTGCCAATTTTGTTTTATTTTAATTCCAAGAATTTCTTACAGTAATCGAATTATAAGTAAATAAATACCTTCCCAACAAATTTCACCAAAAATGCGATTATTGGTTTTCCATTTAGTAAGGAGGTCCAAGTTGTGTATTATTGACAGTTTACTAAATGTCGTTTAGTTGCAACTTGCAAGGTGCAGTGTGAATTCTAGTGTGATCATGGAAAATTTAGAAGGGCCGCGTAAACGACAAAAAATCGATCCATTAACAGTTAATGAAAAAACATTAATATTTAATTGTTTTAAATCATTTACAGACAAACATTTATGTAAAAGTGTTGATGACACAGTGGAATTAGTTAGTAGTACGCTTTGTGTTGGGAAATCTACGATTTACAGAGTTGTTAAAGAAGAGAAATGTTGCGAGTTTCAAACAGCACGTAAAACTCCAGGAAAACCAAAATTTCAATTAGAAAATCTTTTGAAAGAAAGACTTCGAAGGAAAGTGCATGCGTTCTTCTTTAGAAAAGAATTTCCGACAGTAGACAAAGTTCTTGCCACGGTTCGAGATGATAAGGATTACCCTGAAATAAGTCGAAGTACACTATGGAAACTTTTAAAAGAAATAGTTTTTCTATGGAAAAAGCATTCCAGAAAGTCTATTTTAATAGAAAGAAGCGATATTGTAGTATGGAGAAGAAATTACTTAAGGACTATAAAAGAAATGAGAAACCAAAGAAGAAATATATTTTATTTAGATGAAACATGGATCAACGAGGGACATAAACCAAATAAATTTTGGCAAGATGAAACTGTTACAAGTCGAAGACAGGCTTTTTTAAATAATTTATCTACTGGTTTAAATCCACCATCAGGAAAGGGGCGCAGACTACTAATAGTACACATCGGTAGTTCAAACGGTTTTGTTAAAGGTGGTTTATTGACTTTTGAATCTACTCGTACCGGTGACTACCATGAGGACATGAATGCTGATGTCTTTAAAGAGTGGTTCGAACAAATTATAGATCTTCCTCAGAACTGTATAATAGTAATGGATAATGCAAATTATCACTCGAGACTTATAGAAAAAATGCCCACAACCAAGTGGTTAAAAAAAGATTTACAGAATTGGCTAAATTCAAAGAATATTAAGTTCCATCCCCGGTTCTGTGAGAAAAGAACTGTATCATTTGTGTTCCCTTCATAAAGAGAAATTCAAAAAATATGAAATTGATGAAATTGCAAAATATCGTGGAATGACGGTTGTTAGATCACCACCATATCATTGCGAAGTAAACCCGATTGAACTGATATGGGCACAGATAAAGGGAAAAGTTTCAAGAAAAAATAATTCTTTTAAAATGAGTGATGTTAAACAGTTGTTTTTGGAGATTGTAAATAATGTGAAGCCTGAAAACTGGGAAAAGGCAGTAAATCATACGATTAAAGAAGAAGAGAAAATGTGGAAGTTGGAATATATTACTGATGAAATGATCGAGCCACTCATTGTAAATATTGGTTGCGACAGTTCATCTTCTGATTTGGATTTGTAGGTAAGAAGTAGTTTTTATATTAATATTATTATTTATGAACGTAACGTTGTTTAAAAGTCAAAGTTTAAACCCTTATACCTACATAACCCGTTTGACACAATATTCTTAACATACCTTGTGGAAAAATAAAACATTTTAGAAAAAATTGCACTTTTTTACCTTCAGCTGTTTAGAAGTTATAAGCAGGTTAATTAGATGAAAATATAAGTGTATACTCGAGGAATAACTTCAAAAATATTTTAACTGTCTACTAAAAGAAGTGTTACGCCTATGGATTACGAACGCTTTATTTTAATACTCTCTCATACATAAAAATAGACTGTAAGTACACGTATTTGTAGATATAGCACTATTGTAATCAAAAATATTAGTTCTATATCTTGTAAAAATTAATAATTATCTCACAAAATGTCTCAAATCGAAGTTCAGATTACCTCTTACACTGTTGCCAAGTCGCACAAAAGTTTACTATCCTATTATTTATTGTGAAATGGTACAACAATTCATTTCTAATAATTTTCTTTGCCCTAACAATATAAACTCAGCAAACGTAGGTACTTCTGGGTATCAATATTGTAAACAAAAAATCTTACTTTCATATCTTGTGCAAATTAACAATAACGACACAATTAATTTTATTAAATAAAAATATTTCACCATTTGTCTCAAACTAAAGTTCCTACTTGACCGTCTTACACTGTTGTCAAGTAGCACAAAACGTTTACTTTTCTGTTATTTAGTATCAAAAGTACAGCAATTAATTTTTAGTAATTCCCCATGCCTTCCTTAACAATATGTTGTAATATAACAATTGACGTTGTTTTTCCCACCCAGGATACCTATTTCCTCCTTTACCTGTAAAATTAATGAACAAAATAGCATACTTTTTTTTTAAAAAATTATTTATTTGCACAATATATGGAACTTAGGTGTTTTGTTTACAATTGCAATAAGATGTGGAACTAAGATTTTTGTTTACAATAGTGATACCTACAAATACATATGCTTAATTTTTCATAATCGAAAAGAGCTGGAACTAGACAATGGCCGGATTTTTAATTAAATTTTTTCTTTTTTTTAATATTAAAAAATACAAACGGCTAGCAGGTCAAACTAGCGAAATCGTGCAATGAGTAGTAAGGGAAAACTCACCATACTCTTAATATATTTAAATAAAATAAATTATTAAATTCCTCATTTAGAAACTCACCCAATATCAAATAAAACAAACAAATATAACCGTCACAGACTGCACTTTCTAATAACTTTGTCAAACTATTTTAAAAGTTTCCTGGACCCAGCGCGATTATCACTCAACCCAGATAAGTATGCCTATTAGCCCAGTCATCACTTTGTGTGTTTATTTTCAAATAAGTGTGAAGAAGTGTTTATCTTAACGAAATCAATAAATAAAAAAATGATTCTTTATAAATCATAATTTTAATACAAATTTTAAGATAGACAAAGACTCGTGGATGAAGAAAATTATCGATATTTCTTTATTCTTTGATTTTTTTAAGCTAATATTATAATACCCAGTAAATTTAAACCCTGTAAAAAACAAAAATCGTATACTTGTTTGTTTGTATTAAAAGTAATCAAATTTATATGGACCACCCGGCCCTGAGGTACCCCTTACTAACAAAAAAAGAATCATAGAAATCGATCAAGGTGGTAAAGAATTATCGCTAAAACCGCTAAACATATATAAAAAATGAAGAGTTTGAGGATTTTATAATGGACACCGTGTTACAGAATTATCGCTAAAAAAAATATACCGACGAATTAGAACCTCCTCCTTTTTTGAAGTCGGTTAAAAACTAGAATAATCTAGGTCCGACTGAGCTAAAAATTTACAAATTTTTTCAACACTGAGTACCTATATCTGATTTTTTTTTATATATGTTCCTTTAACTTTTGGACAGACAATTTTATTATTCAAATTTTGAGTTAATTTTTTTTTTGTATCTAAGCATTTTCGGGATGCAAAATGGAAGAGGTCAATTTTTGATTAATTTTTATTACGTTAAATTAAAATTATTTAACCTAATTAAGTAAATTTTTAAAAGCTACATAATATTTTGATTGTAGGTATAAACCCTTGGCGCGATGAGTTACACTTTCCATACACACAGGTGGAACAACTTGAGTTGTATCACAGTGTGACCAAATTCGTTAACACTATTACAAATCCAAAATTAATTATAGTTCGGATGTGAGGGCTGGGGTAGTATTCTCGAATCACGAATACCGACATTCGCATACGTGTTTTACAATGTGTCTCACTTTGTTGAATCTATATTCGTGACTCGAGAATACTACCCCTGGCCTTTAAAAACAGGAAATAGATATCTCATTTTTGGCACATTTACAAAAATAGGCCTGATTTAAAACGTTAATAGCATCTCAGAGCTTTGATTTGAGTCATTTTATGATGCCATACAGAATTTTGAATTAAAACCAAGACTACATTTTTAGACTATTGCAAGGGTATTTTTACAGCCTATTAAAAAATTGTATACTCTTCGTTTTTTGCAAAAATCAACTTCGAACGAAGTCAGCAGAGCGCCTCAGTTTTTCTAACAACACCATATTTTCAGGCTATTTTTAGGCTCTTGAAATATTTTAAAACTTTTCGAAAAAAATTGATATATTTAAAAAATACATGGTACTTTGCTGCCAGCAAAAAGTCTTGATATTTGCAAAAAACGAGTAGCATAAATTGTTTTAATTGGACATAAAAATAGCTTTGAAATAGCCTAAAAATATGCTACAGGTTTCAACTCAAAATTCCCTAGGTGCTCTGTTGCCTTCTTTGGCATCATTTGGGGATTTTTTTCTCCCACCCTACCCTCTAGCTGATATGTCACCATGAAAAAATAAAGTTATTTTTTTTTTTCAATAACGTTTTTGTATAAAAATCTTACCACCACCATCATCCCCTATAGAAAGATGGAGGGAGTGGTATCCCTAAAAAATTAAGGTAGAATTTTTTAAATGAATCGGCAGAAATCTACGATTTTTCTACATACATACATACCCAAATATACAATTTTTTTAATAAAATTAGATTTTTATCTCACTGTAACCATTTTTAAATGTCAGCCCCCACATTCGAACTACAACAGTTTAGGTCGAAAATTTTTCAAAGTCGAGAAACATTTTTGGAAAATGTTATTAAAAATTTAAAAAATTTGGGTTTGTTTGTAGAAAAAATCGTAGATTTCAACTGATTCATTTAAAAAGTTCTAACTTATTTTTTTAGGGATACCAACCCCTCCATCTTCCTATAGTAAATGTCTCCACATCCGAACCATGACAGTTCAGGTCGAAACTTTTTCAATGTCCAAAAATATTTTTGGAAAAATTTTATCAAAAAATTTTGAAATTTGGGGTTTGTATGTGGAAAATATTGGTATATTTCAACTGTTTTATTGAAAAAATTGTAACTTTATTTTTTGAGTGTGTTACCCCCTCCATATCAGCTAGGGGTGGGGTTGGGGATGGCAGGATTTTTTATGTGAAAATACATTCAAGAGCCGAAAGCCCAACCATGTTTCTTTGTTTAATCCATGTATTTACATACCTAGGATAATTTAGGTAAAACAATACTAATAAACGTTGCAATGAGTCTAAAATGTGCTGAAAAAAATCACAAATTCATCATTTACTTGAGATAAAACGCTTACCAAAATTCTTGTACACTTTAACACGATAGTCACCAACTAGAACACAACAAAATCCATTCGCAACTGTTTCAGTTTTCAGTTCGAATTCGAAATAGCAACTTTCAGTTCGCACTAACCTCAACCTCTGCACTACTAAAACAAATGTGTACGTTACGTACCCGCAGGGCACAGAGTAGGTTCCACTTTGAACCGCGTTGTACTCTGTACTTCACAGCGAATATTCTTAGTGGTCAAATTCGCAACTAATAACTAATCCCATGTAATTAAAGCAGTTCCAATTATGTATTAAAACTAATATTTTTATTATATTAATCAAAAACCACTGTAAGTACCGAGGTACCTTTTTATATAGAAAGAAATATAATGATTTATAATATGTCTCTAATAGGTATGCAATGGAAAATGTTAAACTGAGTGTATACGTGTAGGTATCTACTTAACATTAACAATAAAAATATTTTAGGTAGATTAAAACAACAACTACATTTAATGGTAATTACTTCTAAGATTTTTCTCAATAGTATCGTTTTTTTTTAAATAATAGTGTATGTAAGAATTTAAAATTCGAAAGCGTTGGATCGATGGTATTTAGTCGAAACATATGGACCGGACGAAGTACCTGATCAATGGAGTGACGACGAAGGCATTAAAATGTGTTATTTATTACCCTAAGACTCATATTTATTATTTCAGTATTATGTATTAAGTTCCTAGGGCAATCTGGCCTGAGAAATAAGGGGACACTTATAGTCCGGCTGTCTCAACGCAATGTCGAATTTACTTGTTTTATGTTTAATTTTGGAAATAGATTAATTTGATGAAAATATCGTGTTTTCTTACATGTATTTATAGATCAAAAAGTTTTCGTAGCTTAAAAGTTGCATCTCATGAAATGATATTATTGTGCAAAATATATCATACCTACCTACCTTATGTTTAATTTTGTATAATTTGATTCTGTTGGACAGTTTTTTGGGTCCCCTCAAGAGTGATATTTTTACATGTACCCCAACGCTATTGAATTTTTTTTATAGAAAATGTAATTAAAAATAAAATTATTATAAATACATGTGATGTTCAAGAGTAATAACTATTGTCTACTTTTATTTGTTACTGTGTTTAATCTTGTTTTATTATATTTTAGTTAGATTAAATTGATTATGTTTGATGCAAATATTTATTTAGATTCAACATGCAAATAATAATTATTCACTAGATAGATATAAAGGTATACGCCATCGTATGTCTCTCTTATTTTTTTGAATTTGTACATTGCTGTCATTAACTACCTATTATATAGGCAACCAACAATGCGAAAACACGTAAATGAAATTGTCTACAGACTTACTTAAATAGTAATCTAATTAATTGGGTTTATTTTCAATTTGATTAGGTTTTTTTCGACCTTGATAATCAAATTATCTAACACGTGAATGAATACTTAAAATAACATTATATATAAATAAAAATGTAGTATTAGCATTGCATTCATTCATTTAGTTAGTTTCCAATAGTTTTCTAACATGAACAGTGCCAAAAGTAAATTATTTTCAAAAATACTTCGAGGATTCCGACATCCCATAAGATCCTACAAAAATACTTTGGAAAAGCATCCTATGATAGTACAGTCAATACAAACTGGTTGTTTGTATGGTACCAGTGACTTAATAGCCCAGGTGTTTTGTGAATATAAAAGTTTTGAAGAAATTAATTTGAAAAGAACTGTTGTGTTTGTTACTACTGGAACATTTTTTACGGTAAATATTTGTTTTTATAAAATTTTGGAATTAAAGTGGGAAAATATTTTGCCATTAGTGAGTAATTAAACATTTTTACTTTCCTATCTGTATACAGATATAAGGAAAGTATAAGAATCATGATTTTTTTCGACCTCGAGTTTTCGACGGATTTTTACGTTTTGAGGTCCCCTGAATCCGTTTTGACTATTTTCGCGATGAACTCATGAACCGATACACAGAAAAACACCAAATTTTAAACTTAAGCTTTGTTCCAGCGTCCAATGAGCTAATCAGATTTTGGGCAGAGTCGGAACATCTGGGGGGTACTTTATAGGTGGTCATTTTTATATTTTATGGAATATATCTGTTATTTACGTTTGGGGAAGAAAATTCTTTAAATATAAGTTACTTCCTATATTATTATCTATAATTTTTGTTCCATACAAAATTTTCCTAAAATGGTCCGTATTCGAGAAATTAGACATAATGTAAAAAAATATTTTTTTAAAAAATTTATCAAACAAAAGTTGTTTGTAATATAATTCTCTATAATTTTTGTCCTATACATAATTTCTCTAAAATGGACCGTATTCGGGATATTTGAGAAAATGTGTAAATTTCGAAATTTGAAGAAAACTCAAAAACGGATAAAGAAAAAAACATTAAATTTTAAACTTAAGTTTTATTTCGACCTGACGTGAAATGATTAGATTTTGGACAAAGTCGGAACATCTGGGGGGGTACTTTATGGAAGGCCGTTTTTATATTTTATGGAATATATCTGTTATTAATGTTTGGAGAAAAAAATTGTTTTATTAAAAGTTAATAATAATAATAATAATAATAATAATAAAAGTTTTATGTCAAAATTTCCTGAAATGGTCCGTATTCGAGAAATTTGACAAAATGTGCAAAATTCTGATTTTTATGAAAATTTTTAAAATAAAAGTTGTTTGCGATATCGATCTCTATAATTTTTGTTTATACATGATTTTTCTAAAATGGACCGTAATGGAAAAATTGTAGGAAAAGTGCTAAATTTAAATTTTTTAGTATTTTCGTTTTCAATGAATATCTATAGAAAAATGTTTCGAGGTAGATGTATGTGGAAAATGTATATATTTAGTTTATTCTTTAAACATTTACAGAGGTGCTGCAATAGGTTGTACAAAATAACCGGAAAAAGCCTGTAATAACTAGATAGGAAAGTCATGTGTTAGACACATCAGATTTTTAATTTCATTATTGGGCGTGTTTAGTACCTAAATGCAGAAACATTTTTCTAATAGTTTAAAATCTAATCTAAATATATTTTTTATTTTTCCTTTAAAAATTTACATAAAAAAATTTTAATTTAATAAAATTAAAACAAATTTGAGATTTGTGCCTCAATGATCTTCAAAGTCGTAAAACACTGTATACTTGCCTGGTACTAGCAATCGCCAAACTTATCTGAAGATTATTTCCTGAATGGTTTAGGCTAAATCAAGCATTGTAGAAATACGTTAAGAAATTCCATCTCTATTAATATATAACATCCTTACCTCACCTCTGATATGTACGCAACCAACAAAATCGCCTGGAATTTTGTAGAATATTTTTTGATATTTTCAAGAAAATTTCTAAAAATACGTTACTCAAATTCATGATTCAAAACATTACAGAGGTATGATACTTAGCCAGTTAGCTGACGAAATATCTTCTATAGTCTAGTCTTTGCAGAACCTAGTACAGGTCCAAGAATTAGACATTTATTTATACCTCATCCTTCAATGCTTATTTAATCATGTTTCCATGCTTATTTTGCAAAGTACGCCAATGGAATGTGACGTTATATCCCCACATCTACTGCATTACACTTTTATTCAGACTATAGTAATACCGTTTCTGCCGGCTCTGACACTATCAGTAAAATATTAACAAGAGATTTTACTTCCTGTTTACCTCTATATACACTGATATGGTACCACCGATTCATTAGCGACCAATGAAAACAGACAATTCAAAATAACGAAAAAATAGCGCAGAAGTTTTAAATTAATGACGTAAAAGTGACCTTTTTAATATAAATGTGTTATTATTAATTTAAACCCTTTATTCTATGTGCTTAAAAAGTTTATAACATCAGATTGTTTAAATTTTTTATTTCTAGGGTCCAATCGTATCGCTATGGTACCGATTCCTAGCCAAAAAAATAGGCACAACGAGCACATCAGTGATAATCAAGAAGGTCCTCATCGATCAGTTCCTATTCGCACCATGTTTCCATATGTTCCTGATAACAACCATCAACACGTTACACGGACACGGTACAACTATAATCAAAGAACAAATCCGTCTTAAGTACGTCGATATCCTCACGACGAGTTTAAAATTGTGGCCCGCTATACAGCTGATCAACTTTACGTTCGTACCAACGAATTACCAGGTTTTGTTCGGGCAGATTGTCGCCTTGTTTTGGAATGTTTATATATCCTGGAAGACGCAACAGGGGATTCAAATACAAGTGGCGATGTAGAAAATGTAAGTGAAATTGTATCTAAAGAGCTGAAGCTCGCAGAACTTTATTATCATCACCAGTGGTCATAGAAGGGTATATTGACTTTCTCCAGATTCTTTGGCCATTCATTTATATCCATCTGGCCCACATCCTAAAATTTTCCTCTTCGATTAGTTGCACCATCCTTCCATATATTCTTTGGCCGTTCATTTATATCCATCTGGCTTATATCCTCCAGTTTTTGTCCTCGCTTAGTTGCACCATCCTTCCAGTGGAGCTATGACGTTCCTATCTCTCTTGTACCTATAACCTCCTTGCTGTATTATCCTTTTAGTATGTCATGTAGAAGCCCTTTGGTAAAGGATACACGTGGCGGATACAATCCGTGGCTGCATCATATGATATACCAGAATATTATAATTGTTTCTATATTAGTAAGAAGTAATAATTACTATTATTTGCCTGTAATAAGCACTACAATAACAAAAGATAAGAACTAACATATCATGTAATTAGTTACATTTAGGATAATATAACTCGGAACGGACAAGGTATTGAGAGTCGTAATGAAAACAAATGTTCCACAGTAGAGGTGTTAGCACCCTTCCCTGTGGATATCCCCTAGCAACCAAGCTTCTTATATTCGCATCTTCTACACTTATGTTTACTACTCTCTTTGAGAGCATGTTATGTATCCACCCACTAATCATCTGTGGAACATCTTGAGGAAGGTGATTTTATCAAAAGCACCTTCTGTGTCTATGAAAACACCCAAGTTGCACTCTTTATTGTCCAGAGATATCTCTATCTGGCCAGCAACTAGATTAAGGGATGAATCAGTAGATCTACCTGGGGTGTATGCATATTGATTTGGGTGTAGTGATGTTGTTGTAATCACCGCATCCCTTATGTACCTTCCGCATCTTTCCAATGTCTTCATGGAAAACCGACTAATTGGTCGGTATGTTTTTGGGACAGTCTAAACTATCCTTCTAGGTTTGGGTATGAACTTTTACCTCTCTTTCACTTCTCTTTATAACTTCGGTTACCAATTGTTGGAGTGGTGCTTGAATTTTGAATTCTATTGGTAAGGCCTCGCGTCGGTGTTACTAAATGATTGTTAAACATTTTTTTTGCTTGCATTTCGTTTGAAAAACGTTGTGTCAAGAGAGAGATAAAACTTTGTTCCCATGTTCGTGTTTAGTCAGGTTACGTTCAATCGTATAGTTGAATGTTTTTGCAAAAAAAATGTTCATTAGAACACAAATTACCTCACACTAATAACGTATTTATTACTAAAGATTTTGGCAAGATATACTCTTCTTATTTGACAGTGTACAATTTTGGACAACAATAAAAATGAAAAACTTAAGAAATGTTTTTATATAAAAATAAACATTTATTTACTGGTATCTATTAACAATTCATTTTAAACAAAAACTCCTTTTGCGTATATGTTTTCTTTAAATATTTATTTATTTATAACGTGTATTCGAGCTTTTCCCCTAAAATAAAAATAAAAAATGGTATCATTATTTAAATATACAATTTGAAACTATAATAGGTAGATACTAATTAACGTACAACCAATGACGAACAACTGCTAGACTAATTTTGTTTACAAAAACCTAATTCACTATCTTAGCTACGTAGTCTTGTTACAAGGATTGTTTAAGGTTATAATTCGGAAGTAACTTAACATAAGGCTCTGAGAAGCATAAATGGCTTTCAAAATTATATTAAAGATGTATATTTGCATTCTTAATGGCAGTTATCTGTTTATTGTCTTTTCCTGGTTGCAACTATTATTGTAACTGTAAGAGATTTACAGGAAAGCACACCGTTTATTTTAGAGTTGGCAACGGTGTAAAACAGGAATCATAGTTGCACGAGCTGGTTCATTCATAAAACTCGTGCTCGTACCTCAGATAAACAAGCTTGCACAAATATCCCCACTCAATTTATAAGCCTTGTTTTAAGTGGCAGTCGATTATGGAATGAATAGATTAGTCTAGTAATGTTTCGTCGTTACAAATATTAATACTAAAAGTTATGAAGATTAATAAGCTGTAAGCCAAATACTTAAATAATTTTAATTAAGAATATGTATCGCATTAAAAACCCAAATTTTTGTTTCAGACATACCTCAAGGTTCCATTTCAGGACCTATACAGAAGAAAAGATTTAATTTAGATGATATTTAACTGTACATTCCTTTAATTTATTGTCATATTTATTTATTTATATCAATATTATTTTTTAAGTATTTGTTTTGAATTAAAAAAAAATGGTTATGATAAAATATAGATTAGTAACAAAATATGATATGGTTTTAGAAGAAAGTGGATAGTGAGACCATAGACAGAGATGACAAATATATAAAGAATCATTTGTTTTTCTTTGCTGCAAAAAAGCTCATTTGCTCCACTGCGTTCATTTCATATTTTTCCAAAAGTTGGCATCACACCTATTGTAGACCTTATGAAACTAGGTAGTAATCGCGACTACAAGAACTAAGTTTTCCTTTTAAATTAGGTATGTGTTATTTACATTAGCTAAATAAATATTAATCACTCAGTCCCTGTAATCGATATAGAAACTTATAAAATAAATATAGAAAGATGAAAAGATAGAATAAACATTGGATAGGACATAATTATTGTAGTGCTGAAGTAGTACAATTTAAAAAATACATTCTTTCTGGCTGCAATACTGGCATATCTATAAAACGCTTATTTGGTCTCTTGATGGCAGAAGGGTCGGTATTGAATTGTCTGTAGTCATTAGGTTCTTTCGTTCGCTGTTAGTGCAGTGTCCACCAGTGTTAATTACACCATCTAATTTACCTAGTGTACCTCCCTCCTTATACACATGTCGAGTGTAATTCACTCCTGCTAAATAGCTGGTGGAGAAAATATCCACCGCCGACTGAAAGGTGTAGTAGATTTTACACCGGGCCAAACGAAAGGTATACTGTCCGTTGGTGTAGTTCATTCCTACATCAGTGGGACGAACAAAAGATTCTGCAATATCGACATTTCTCAATATATAATCTCAAAAGTTTGGTGAACCATCTCAATATAGTGACACTTTTTTAATTGCGTCGGTCTTGCAGAAATATTTTTCTTTCGTAACATATTAGTTCTTATTGTACTAATTTAGTTGCTGGATATACTAGGTAATACTGACTTTTTAATATTTAAACTTTCCATGTTCTTTAATAAAGTTTATTTTTGTATTTTTATGTTTTGAGTTAGACCAAGATCATCAAAGTGCAGCATTTCTGCAATAGTGGCACAACTTTAAAAATCTCTAATGGTTAACTTATTCGCAAATACCATTGGTATACATATATCGTAGTTACGACATGTTGGCTATGAAAGCACGGCTATGCCTTATACAAAATAAATAAGTACTGTATATTTTATAATGCAACACTCTCTCATCGCCCGTTTTTTCTGCCCAATTATTCCTGGAATAATAAAAAAGAGGCTGAGATACGAGATATTTCATATTCTCATAACGGGACAATGCAACGTTACATGAAACATTACGTTTTTCTGGGTATGGGCGCTTTCTTCATGTACCTATACAGGGTGTCCCGAAATTAGACTCATATTTTAACAGCCTAAAATAGGAATAAAAGTTTATATAAACATAGGTCCGAAAACGTTTCTTTTCCGAGATACAGGGTGTTAAAAGTGAAGTCCTGACGACACACTTTTGCAAATATTTTCTAAACGTTTACAGATAACTAAGGGAAATTTGGTACAATGCTTACCTTTTTACGCTCTATTTAATGGACTAAACCCCAGTTTTTGATCATCTTCATAGGTGGGTAAATTAAGGGGGGCTTAGGGTAAAATTGGCGTAAGTTTTTTTTGTTGACAGATCTTAACATTTTTGACTATAAATTTTGAAAAACCAATATTTTCTTTATAATAAAGCTACATTTGTTGCATCTCCCTAGGACGCATCATTTTCAAAAGAAAAGCATTTGAAAATTTCATGATAAGTTGATGTTATCTTATTCGACAATGCAATTAGTAGGCCTGAGGAACCAGAAATTTTTTTTTAACTTTGGGAAACCGGGGACTAAAGAAATTTTAGAAAATATTTTAAAAAATGTGCCATCAGGACTTCACTTGTAACACACTGTATCTCGAAAACGAGGTGGGTGAGGTTTTCCGGGTTTTCCTCACCTGTAAGTCAAATGGCACCATCAATCATCTTTAAGTCGCCCCGGAGCGCCACGGCAAATAATAATAATAGCCGTCCCTTCCCTACACAAGTCGTTCAGTCGACTTCAGGGGTTGAAATTCACTCGTAAGGGGGTGAATTAGGGAGAGTATTATTATTATTATTAAACATTTTCGGACCTATGTTTATATGAACTTTTACTCCTATTTTAGGATGTCGATTACCTACGTTGTTAAAATATGACCGTCTAATTTCGGGACACCCTGTATTTATGATTAGCAGATACAGTAGATTAATAAATTAGGTAATAAATTCTGGCTTTTTCAATTCTTTTTAAAACTTCAAATTGTTAAAAAAAAAAAGAAAAAGTGACGGTAGACCGGGAAATCTCCCGGTTTCCCAGTATAATCAATGCTTTTATGACCCAATTGCATCACAGTTTGAAATTACATTTTTAAGCTTGGCTTATTTATTAACGACTAGCTGTGCAAATGGCCTTATGTGTATTTTTTCGGTAATAGAACCCCATTTATCGAAAAACTTGATTTTACAGTTGTACCACTGACGGTTGAAGCCCATGAGTAAAATGTTAGTTAAAAATAGATGTAAACATAGCATTGCACTTTTTCAATTTCATTGTGTTTTCCGGATTTTATAATTAATCTACAAACATTCTATAATTTGAAAAGCCCGCTATTTTACGTGTGACGTCACTAGTTTAAATGGACGAAACACTAAAGGCGATTTTAAATCAGTTACTAGAAATGTGACCAAGTCAAGTGTGGTCAAGGTTCTTACGTCATTATAATGACGTTCTAATAATCTGATTTAAAAATGTTTGGTTTATATTGACACTAACTTCACAATGGGTATAACATTGACAGATATCATGAATTTTTGTTTGTGTGTTATGTAATAGCAGTAGGATTTGTTTTTGAATTTGTAGGGATAAAAAATAAATATCTGTTTTGTTTACTGATCATGGATGAAGAGAAAATTGGTATTATAGTTACTTTGGCCTCTGATTTTTTATCAAAACTTTAGCCATGTTTATTAATAAATCCTACCTTGAAAATAAATTGGCTTTTCATTTGCAGAAACCTTAAATGCGTCCATATCTAGGTACTCAGCCAGGGTTGCCAGACGTCGCGCTTTAGGCGTAATTGTCCTGCTTTTTAACTTGCTGGCACGCGTTACGCCAAAGTACAAAAATGCTCCGCATTTTACCTTATTGCTACGTTTTTTAAATTCAAAGTTATATATAATGATATTTTTGACATGTTTGACCTGTTTTTGAGAAGCTCAGAAAAAGGAATCTAATGGTTTAAATAAATATAAGCGGAGGACCTTTTTTAAGATCTCTACAAAAAAGGAGCTTATTTTAAAAAAATACCTGTTTTTTAAACCTGATACCCTATCGTCACCATTGTCCCACTTTTCCCTTTCGTAAAACTTTCTTTCTATTTTACAAATAACACAACCAAACAATGATTTAATAATTAAAAAGTAAAAGTTTTACATTACATTTGTCATTTCATTTGACATTTCATACCTGTGATGACCACGTTTTTACTGTAGTCATGTTAAACTTGACTATTTCAAGACAATATTCAATATGACGTCATTGTTTTTGATTTATATCAGTGTAGTCAATCATATTCAAGACATAGTATCTGATTTAAAATCGCCTAAAAATTTCACTCAAATAACTGTTGTCAAAGTTGAAACACAAAACATGACCTATAAAAGTTGTGTTTTGTGTCAAATCCATGATACAATAAATACGATAGAACAGTTTACAAATGACTTTTGTTGCACAGAACACAAAATTTTGATGTATTTACATTAGGTCTTTTCCTGTGCATCGAAAGTGTAGCACTATACAAATTGTATGGATGGAACAATATTTTCAGAAGTGACGTAGCTCAGTGCTACACTGTCGATGCAAAGGAAAAGACCTATTACAAGTTACATAAATGCAGTAAATTTTTGTTTTACAAAGAAAAGAAAATCTTGCAATTTCGTATAAACCAGTAATTATTACTTAACATTAAATAAAAAAAATGTTGGGTTAAAGTTGAATACCTACCCAAAAGCAATTTAAGCACCAAGCCACATTCTTAATATGGAATTTGATCCATTTTAGCGCAAGAAATTTTGATTTTTTTTTTCATGTATAATTTTTTTTTTTTTTTTTCGAAGTGACTCGCAACAATGGCTCCAGACCGTCCAGGTTAGGTAAATTACTTAAGATTTTTTTATTTTAATTAGAATAATCGAATATTTAGTCACGCGCTAACTTGGCTCATTTTAATTTGACCAGGCGCTAACTTATCTGTATTTGCCTCAGCTCTCGCACTAAAATGGATCAGGTCCCTTAATATGTGCCTGTTAGGAACAAGGAAGATAGAAAGAAAACAGATGATTTTGTTTTTATTTACAAAAATATAAATTACCAATGTATATACTTTTTTCTAATTAAAATACCCCCAGCAACTAATACGGCTGCTGCTGATATTGCTATCAATGTGAATTTCACACCGTTTGCTATTTTAACTATGTCAAAGAATTGGTCATTCAACATATCTATTAAGTCTTGTGTTAGTTCTGCTCCCTAAAAATATATTTCAATTTTTCGCTATAGATAGAGTTATAATTTAATTATTACGAAAATATTTTATTACCTCGTCGATCCACAATAGAGGTAAAACCGTCTCTGGTAAATTGGCAGCAAATGGCATGTGGCTTATCGGTCTCAAAACTACATTTAATTGAACCCTCTTCTTTCCTTGTAAAGGAATACCCGTATTCTAAAATAAAAGAGTTATCTTAATTGGTTTTTCTTTAATTTTACAAAATATTTTAAAAATATCTTGGAGATTTGTACAAGTAAAGGTTGGCTATATTATTAGGTGTCAGTTAATTTTGTGTTCTGCGGGATGACAGATGATGTGTGTTTTATGCCACAGAACTAAAATATCAAAATTTATTCAAAAATAACTTACCGGTTCTAATAACAAATATATTTCATGAATCGATTTATTTGGTGCTGCTAGATTCCTAACTCCATTGAGATACTTTTCAGCATAAAGGAAATGAGGAAATGACAATAGAAGAGGAGCACCTACAAAAAAGTAAATTTATTTTTTAATATACAAGGCGGAGTATACCTACCGAAACAATCCATAACATCCACAATACCATCTAGATAACAACTTGGTTCTCCCTTCGGATTCAAAGTTCTTTTTGTACAGTAACAATCATTTTCAACATTGGGTGTTACTGGATAAAAAGTGTCCTCACTTGGTTCGAAACGGTATCCTTTTATTCCCTCGTATGTACCTTCTCCGGCATATGAAAGTTTTACAGTCCTAAAACCAGAATTTTTTTTAAACGAGTTCGTGAAAATAGTTTCCAAAGTTAATTATAAACGAGGCTAGTGTATAAAGAGAAGAAAATTTGAGGTTAGATTTTTTATCAGATCTAACTTCACTTTGCTGAAAAAAAAACCGGTAAAACGTAAAACGCATCACCGCACGTCGAGTCGAACTAGTCGAAAAATTTGCGTTTGCAGTCCGAATAGTCCGAAATTAAATCAATCGTCAAAAATGCCTATAACAAGAAGTGCCGCCTCCGGAAGTAAAAATACAGCGATAAATGGAAAAGAGCAAAAAACTGAAACGAAGAAACCCAAAGCAAAGCCCGCCAAAAGAGAAGCCACTGAAAAGGAAGTGCCAACGTCTCCAAAAAAAGTTAGCAAAAAAGCAACTGATGCTGCTGCTGCCAACGGTACTGCGAATAAAAAAGCTAAAAAGGGGACCACTGCTAAAAAGCAAGCAGTAAAACATGAATCTGCCGAAGGAGAGGATCCTGAAGTTGATGAAGCCGATGACGCTGATGCGTTGCAAGATGCTGAAACTACTATCTACGATTTCAAAGCTAATGATATAAAAGGAAATGAAGTGTCTTTGGATAAGTACAAAGGACATGTTTGCATAATTGTTAATGTAGCTTCTAAATGTGGGCATACTAAACTCCACTATGAACAGTTAGTCGAGATATTTGACAAATATTGTGAAGAAAAAGGACTGAGGATTTTGGCTTTCCCATGTAACCAGTTTAGTAAGTACCTATAGCGAATATATTTTTTATTTTTTGTAAAACATTGAACATTTAAAGATTAACTAACTTAGGGATTATGTCCTACGTGTAATCCCTACTCTCTTACACAAATGTTTAAAAAAATCTTTGTTCATGGATATATTAGTGAATTCCAAATTTATTTTGACTGTTGCTCCTGAATACTTATAATGTACTTTTGGATTGCCTCAGGGAGTTGAAATAAATCACCTTGTAAAGGGGGTTTCAATAGATTTTTTCAGGTTCTTCAAAAATACATTTAGAATTATCAGAGGACTAATTGACCAGTGGACAGTTGATGAATAATTAGCTGTTCCAAGGGCTCAAGATGAAGTCGATAGACTGACAGGCATATTCAGTGAGTCTTTACATTTTATTATGGAACGCTACACAATTCAACAATAGATTGAACTGGTTAAAATTTCTTTTCAAAATCAGTGGTCTATTTAGTTCAGAATTCTACAAACAACAATGAAGTCCTTGTAGCATAAAATAAAATCTTATAAAACTCATGTTTTTATAATTTAACAATATGTTTTTATTGTTTAATATCAAATTGAATATTGTTCCTAACCTAAATCATCACACCATCACATTGATTGTTGTACTGTGATTATAAATACTTGTATATCCAGGAATATTAATATTTTCAAGTACAATTATGTTATGAGTATCTCCAAATACAAATTACATGTCTTTTAGGTTAAAGGTTTACAAAAAAATTGTCAAAATGCTTTTTTATTTTCTTCATTTTCTAATTCATATAATCCATTTAAAACTCCACTATATTCATTTTACAAATAATTCTAAATAATAGTAACTTCATACAATATGAAAAGATTATTCAATATAATTTATCTTGGTGCTTAAAATTCAGAACTGCTGATTCAGTGATCATAGTGAATATTTTTTAAAATGTTTATTTTTTGCAAAATAAATCAACACCTAAATATTTTACTAACTTCAGGGGGTACTAACAACCCCTACTCCTTTATTTAACTCTTTATAACCTCTTTGTATTTATTATATTTAGGTAAGCAAGAACCTGGTGACAATGAGAAAATATGTGAATTCGCTGAAGACCGCAATGTCAAATTTGACATGTTCGAAAAGATTGAGGTAAATGGTAAAAATGCTCATCCTTTGTATAAATTTTTGACCAGCAAGATCAGTGGACCAAAGGGCAAGAATATTGGTTGGAATTTTGACAAGTTTGTCATTGATAAAGATGGAAAGGTTGTTGAGAGACATGCAGCTGCTATGAAACCATTGAAGTTAGTTGAAAATCTTGAAAAATATTGGTAAGATATTTTCATTCTGAGAATAAAAATATTGATACCTATAGGTATTTTTTTTTAATCTATTAAAAGTTGGATTTATAAAAATGTCTTTAATGTATGAATCCGCTTTGATATGTTGATGTTTTCTCACTATTTCTTGTTTTTACTATTTTAAGATTTCAATACTGTAGATTTATTTAAAATGTTACCAAAAAAAAATATTTGGCATTATTTATAGATACAATTGTTTGCTCTGCAATTTGTTATTAACATTTATGATTCCTTAATATATTTAAACAAATTAATTTTAAGGTTAGGTGGCGTTTTGTTAATTTAAATTAAAAAATTCTTGTATTTTGATAAGGTTAACCTTTTATAAACAATAAAAATGTAATAAGTAAAATAGAGGTTATTATCTTTTATTTGCCTAGCAATGGTTCTCATTCATGATCATTCTGTGTCTCTATGTTCCTCCTAAAATTCATCCATCCATAATATTTTAAATTAAAATTGTGTGGCTATGAGTGAATTTTGTTAAAATGCCATAACAAACACTGGGGTGTGGATTTCATAGAATACATAAATTTTTGCAATGATCCTTTTTCCTGATTTCAAAAATATACAATCTAATTTTTTACCTATTAATCCTACACCATTTTTGAGTAATTAAATTTCAAATTACTGCATAGCTGAGTACAGTTAAAATGCTTTTGGCTAGGATATTTGATTATTTGGATTCTGATAACCATTTTTTTTTTTTTTGTTTGGGATGGGAAAAAATGTATAATGTTTGGATATTTTCGACAAATCTGCTATGAGTTAGAGTTTAAAGTAAGCTCTGAAAATGACAATCCTTTGGGCCTAATTAATATGAATACTAATATACAAATGTAAAAATATAATGTATTTACTTCAGAGGTAACAGGTAAAGCTATCAAACTGCAGAACTATATTTAATTCACTTCAATAAATTTACCATGTCTGAATAAGGTTAATATGTGATTTAATATAGTATTACAAAAAATATTTTGCAGAACATTCCAGTCAAATTCTGTAAGAATTAAAATTGTCACTAGACGAATTCTGTTTCATTATATTAAACATAACTGTAAGGTGGAATATTTGATCTAATTTGAGTAAGATTATCAGAGGAATTGATTTTATAATAATTATATTATACAGTGTCAAAAAAATTTAAGATATCAACTCTGATATGATACTTTTTGTAATAAAGATATCTATAAAGTTTATTTTGTATTTTTTTAGTTTTACTCAAGTTTTATTTTCACTTTACCAAATAAGAAAACCAAATTCCAATTTATAGCTGACTAAACAAGCATAGGTTTTATTGTATTATTATTATTATTATTATTATTATTGGAAAAAGTTTAAGTTTGTCCCATTATAAATCCCACTAAGCGATTTGAATCTTTAGTTAAATGATAACTAAAAGTCCAGATCTTTGCTATCAGCAGTTCTCTTTAATATTTCATTATTCATCATATAATTAAAAACAACTGGTTCCTTTAGACGCTATAATGTCATTACAGAACAAACAAAAATATTAAAATAAAGTTTTATTTCGTTTTTACCCATTTGTATATTTTAAGATCCTCTGCAAAAAATGAACAGTTGACTACTTTAAAACCATATGCAGATCATTTAAGAAGAGTTTAAACAATAAGGGACCAAGATTAGATGTTTGTGGCACACTGAACACCTAATTTAGCTGAAAACTTACCTGACATAGTCCCGTTATGCTGTACAATAAATAATTAATTTTTTATCAGATTTAATAACTTATCAGAAAAACCAAAAAATTTCAATTTTTGAAGTTATATACATATAATCAAAGTGTTTTTGAAAATCTGTAAAAATAGTATCCAACTGTTTTATTGTTTTTAAGCTATTGTAGATTTTATTGGTAAATATAAACAAATTAGTATCAACTGGTTTATTCATTACAAGACTATGCTATTATATATTTTTCAGCATAATAAAAGTATTTTTTTTTTTGTAGCCAATCAAATGCTGTTATTTTAAAACGTTTTCATAACAACCAGGGGCGGTATTCTTGTAACTATATGAGTAAGAGAGTAGGCGATATGTTCACCTCCTAACTAGTCCAAACAAAATTATGAAGTCAAAAATTGTGTTCCTTGGATTTTCCCTCTATACCTTTTTTAACCGACTTCAAAAAAGGAGGAGGTTCTCAATTCGTCGTATTATTTTTTTTTTGTGTATGTCCAGCGATAATTATTTAACACGTCCGATTTCAATGATTCTTTTTTTGTTAAAAAGGAGGTACTTCAGGGGTGGTGCCATATAAATTTGGTCAAAATCTAACAATTGTGTCCATGAGAAAATCCTCAATTTCTTTTTTGTTAGGAAGGGGGTATTTTAGGGGTGGTACAATATAAATTTGGTCAAAATCTAATAATTGAATCCATGAGAAAATACTCAAACTCTTCATTTTTTATGTATGTTCAGCGATAATTCTTTAACACGGAGTCCGATTTCAGTGATTCTTTTTTGTTAGAAAGGGGGTACTTCAGGAGTGGTCCCATATAAATTTGGTCCAAATGTAATATTTGAGTCTATGAGAAAATCCTCAAACTCTTCATTTTTAATAATTTTTATGTATGTTTATCGATAATTCTTTACTATCTTGTCGGATGTCCATAATAGTTTTTTTTGTTAGTAAAGGGTTACCTCAAGGGTGGTCACATGTGGTCAAGATTTTGCACGATTTTGAAGTCGGTTTTTTTAAATTACTTTTAGTACTTGTTGAGCATTTGTTGCTTGAACTGCATGAATTATGGTGTATATTGTGATGCATAACTATATGAAAAATCGATAAATCGGAGTTTACTCGTCACCAAAAGGTTTCAACATATTTATGAAAATATAATAAACTAAGTTCAACGGGAAAGTAATTAAATTTTAATAAA